AGTGAACCCTGGTAAGATGGAGTGGCTGTGGGTACGGGGAGCCTCCAGATCTAGGAGTTTATCATCTTTGGTTCTTTATGGGGGTGCACTACCCCAGACAGACCCGGTGCATAATCTGGGGGTCCTCCTGGACTCACGACTCCTGGTGTCATCACCTTTAAAGCCCTTCATGGCACAGGACTAGGCTATCTGAGGAGCCATCTCGCTCCAGTTACTCCAGCCTGCCCCATTCAGTCCAGCAGAAGGGGCACGTTGCAGACCCCACTGGTCAAGGAATTTCGACTGGTGGGGTCGAGGTGGAGGGCCTTGTCTGCTGTGGCCCCCGACCTATGGAACAATCTGCCTCCCAAGGTCTGGTGTGCCCCCACTCTCATGGCCTTCAGGAAAGGGGTGAAATCCTGGCTATGCCAGAAGGCCTGGGGGTCAGATGGGGGCTTGCACCAGTGGAGGTGGCTTGTGGGGTGATTGACCTTGCCCAACCCCCAGTCATCTTGAATGTCTTTAGTATTTATGTACAGGGTTTGTTGTCGATATTTGATTTTTAATGGATTAATTTATTTTTACTATTTATGGGGCATTTTTAATTGTTGATGGGGTTTCTGATTTTAACTGTGAGCTGCCCAGAGTCGCCCGTTGGGGGGAGATGGGCGGCATACAAATTTAATAATAAATAAATAAAAATAAAATTTCTGTTGATAGTCAGAGGTGCTAGTAGAGAAGCAGATAAGAGTGCATATTGGAGATAGCCAATTTACTGCTCCTGGTCCCCAATGTCTGGAAGTAAAACTGGTTCAGATGCAATCTGAAATACCTGGATTAATCAGTTGCAGACTGACTGCCTATGTCTGCTTATTCTCAGCCACTGAACAGTAGCTCAAAGAGCGATGTTTTACCCTTCTCCCAAATGCTTTGAGAATCAGACTTACAGTGGGGAAGGAAGTTTCACTAAAGTAATGCTACCAACAAAAGTATCATGATAGCTGTCAGTACCTGGCCTAAGGAAAACACAGCTCAGAGGCCAAGATTAAGTCTCCTTCAAGTCAAGCTTGACTCCTCATGACATGGAGATACCTGAAAGATTTCCTTGCCAACAGTACAGAAGGGGGCCCCTGCTTTTTCCAAGATGTTTTTCAACTTCCCAATCTAGGCTATGCTCCTGGGATTCCCTGGTAGCCTCAGATCCAGGTACTAACTGGATCTGATCCTGCTTGGCTTCTGATGCCAGATAAGAGGGCCCAGGTGTTGCCACCTACTGGGCTAACACAGTTGGGAAGCAGTTCTCAGTTCATGGGACGGCAGAAAGAAGACTGCATCATTTGACTTCTGCTTCACATTGAAGGCTTCCTACACCCCTTCAAAATCTGCTCTGTAAGATCTGAGGAGTCTGCAGAGCAGATTTTAAGAGTAGGAGGTGGGAAGGGGAAATCACACCCCTCCTGCTCCACTTACAGAAACTTACCTTTGGATAATACCCAAATGAAAGGAAGAACCTTTTGAAGTTCTGCATGCCAACAATGTCTGATTTTAATGAGAATGCACCCCCAGCCATAGACGCTTCCTGGGCAACTTAAGGCCAGTTGCTTTGCCCCAGTGCAACTAACCTCACAGGGTTGATGTTCTGGGGGAAAAATACGAAGTGTTCCGCATTGCTATAAATCTAATGACTACATATATAAAAACAATGCAAGTCAAGTTTCTGCTTGTTGAACATGCCACTATTCTCCAGTTGAGATTCATTAATCTCAAAGAGTTACTGAAGAATAACCAAAGTAAACTTCTGTCTGCTTAGGATTTAATTCTGCTCCAAGCAATTTTTATACTGATAAATACAAAGCAGGTCTGAGAAGATGAAAATTAGCAATTATCCTGAACTGAGAATTCATTGACAAAAATGGCTAATAATAAGCCACTCTCTAACTCCCAAGGTTGGGTAAGGTGACTGACAATGCCGTGGCTTCTCAACTGCAGGCAATTCTGGAGGAAGCAGAGGATCCTGACCCATTTCAAAATGGCTATGCAGTTGAGACTACCTTGGTCCTCTTTATCTGAAGATCAACAGAAGTAGGGTGACTCATTCTTGATTTCTCAGTGACTTTTGATACCATCGAGCATAATATCCCTCTGGATCATCAGAGATTTGGGAATAGGACACATGACTTTGCAATGGTTCTATTCCTATCTCTCGGGTAAATTTTAAATGGTCCCACTTGGAGACAGTTGCTCTTGAAACAAAAGTTATTCTTGGTATCCCTCAAGGCTCCATTCTCTCTCTAATGCTTTTCAGTATCCATATGAAACTGCTGGAGGAGATCATCAGAAGGTTTGGAGCTGGATACTGTAAGTGTGCTGGTGACATCCAAATCTATTTCTCTGTGATATCTTCAGGAAATGCTGGGGTTCCCCTGAATGTCTACCTGCAGTCAGTAATGGCCTGAATGAGGGATAATAAACTGAAATTGAATTCAGACAAGATGGAGATGCTCACTGTAAGGGGACATAATTCCAGAGAGACAGTATCCACTTGTTCTGAATAGGATTACACTCTCCCAGAAGAAGTAGGTATGCAATTTGGGGAAGTTTCTCTTCTAGTTTCCAGATTAAGGCAATAGCCAAGAGTGAATTTTATCAGCTTCTGCATTCCTTTCTGGAAGATAACGGCCTTCAAATTGTAATGCGTGCACTGGTAACATCTAAGCTTGACTACAGTAATGTATTTTATGTGAGACTGCTTGTGCATCTAGAATGGAAAATTCAGTTCATACGAACATCAGCAACCAATTTGATCTTATATAAAAGGCGGGATAAAAATCTCATCATCATCATCACCATCCTCATCATCCTCATCTTGAGAAGATTCAATATATTGTAATATTACACTTGTGCTTAAAGCATTGCACTGGCTGCCAGTTCATTTCTGGGCAAAATACAAATTACTGTCATTACCTTTAAAGCCCTACAGAGCTTGGGTCCAGGCTTTTTGAGAGAACATCTCTTTCTATAGGAACCTCCACATTAAATGAGATTATCTGGGGAGGTTTACCTACAGTTACCATGAGCTGTCTGGTGATGGCTTGGGAACTGAACCTTCTCTGTCACCACTCCAGTTCTTTGAAATACACTTCCTGCAAGGTGGAGGGGGCTGACATCTTTATAAGTTTCTAAAAATGTCCTTAAAACCCTACTTTTGTCTTAGCTTTTAATTGCTGATCTAATATTTCATATTTGTCCATTTTATTTGCTTTTTTACTTGCTATTTTAATTGTTTTGAATGTCTGTTTTACATTTGTTCTTTATAGTAAGCCACCAAGAGAGTATGGTAGTTGGTCGTATATCAAGTTAAATAAATGAATAAAATAAATCATATGTGGCCACATGACACCACATGCTAAGGCACAAGAAATAAGCCAAGGTTAGCTTAGTGTGACATGTGAACCCAGCCAGGAACTGGGTATTAGAAGACTGACTGGGAGGGGCTTTCATGGGTCAGTAGACATTGTACCCCCTGCCACAATGAAGAAGTCGTAGAATTTTATAACACTCTCAATAAGAGAAAGGATAATACCCATTCAAGTAGACAATCACAGATTAGCCTACCTTTGGGCTTCACGGTCATCCTTTGGGTTGTAGTTGGAAAGGCAGTCTAGGATGAATATCTGCCCCCACTCCGTGCACTCATTTAGAGCAGTGAGTAGCTTGTTGATGTTCTGAGGGTTCAGATCTAGCAGATTGCTGTTGGGATGAGATTCGCTGATTTCAGACAAGGCAGCAACAGCATTGGCCACAACCTGGCAGAAGAAGAGGGCAAAAAGCCAGATGCTCAGGAGTGGAGCAGAAGCTTGGTGATTCTACTTACCTTGCAACAATCTCTGGAGTTAGTCTGCAGGGCTGACTGAGGTTTTTTGAAACGGTTAATTAAGCTGTGTTAAAGCCCATGGCCTTTTTTTGATCAAATTAACTGATTTAAAGAGACCTTCTGATCGACCGATAAATTCAGCCACAATTTACTGTATTTATATACTACTTCTCCACATGGACTGACAGGGGTTCACAAAATCTATTCAGCTGATAAAAACAAATACATAATAGACATAAAACAATTTGTAATATAAAATTGATATTTATAAATAATACATATGAGTATCTTTAAAAAAAAACCACCTGGAAGCATCTTCCTGGAAGACATTCCCTTTTCTCCATTACATGCACAGAGATCATGGTTCTCCTGAGATAAAATGCCCGTGCTGATGCAGTGGAATGGAATGTGTTTGGAGACAGATCCTTAGCTACTAACTTCAATGCATAAAGAACAGTGGAAAGAAAGTTAATCTGACATAGGCTGCAGCAAGAAGAAAGAATACGACATGGATCTTAGTATTGATCCTCCAGCAAGATTCTTGGATGTGGCTGGAGTAACACAATGCATTAAGTTATGCTTTATTGAACCACATGTTTTGGAATAAATAATGGTTGGTTTGGGTTAACGTGTAATTTACAAATCATAGCAATTGGATTCTTAAAATATGCAAAGTCAAAACTAAAGCCATTATTTAATTATTAGATTCACATGGCTGTCCATCTTAAAGCACAACTTTGGGCAGCTCACAATGACAATAAAACCCCAGAACCATAAAAACATAAAAACATCAAACCGTAAAACCAAAACCAAAACCAAAACCAAAACCCATCATCAGTTGGGGTGGAGATGCAAAATAGGTTTAGTCCTATCATACATCGTTAGGCTGGGATTTTCCTTTTCCCATTTTTTATTTTTGCAGGCAGGGTGGGTTTCAGCTCCCCAAACATTTCTTATTGAGAATAGCATGCTCAGATGAAAATCAAATGGCAGGACATAAAGCGATTGCTCTGCCAACAAAAATGCTGCAATGAATGAATCGCAGGGAAGGAAGCAGTCTGCTTCTCTCCATTGGGGGAACCTCCCAAAAAATAGGATAGAAAAAGTTACCCAGGGAAGAATGAAACAATGAAAAAGCAGGAGGTGATCCAGAACAGGGAGAAGGAAAAGCAATTAAATTACTCTGTTATCATCTAAGGCTAATTGGAAATTAAACCAAGTGTGGAATGGAGGTAATGAAGCAGAATACTCTGACAATTAACACACTGAATCTTCAGTTTAACATCCCATCAAATTCTAGGAAAGGGACAAGAAACACAGGCAGGGGAAAACAGCTTTATGACAGATGCTACTGGAAAGGGCTGGCAAAAGAGACCAAAATGACTGGAAGAAGGCATGGCTCGCCATTCTGGGCAATATATTTATATGGAGGAAGAGAAGAGTCCTCAAAGTTGGAGGAGAAGAGTCCTCAAAGTTGGCATTGACGTAGCCAACACAGACAATATTGTTAATGCCAGCTTTGAAGACTCTTCTCCACACTTTTGATTCGCTCTTTTCCAAATCTATCTGACAAGCTACACTTTGCAAAATACTGCACTTCTACAATTCCTCTTGTTGTCCTCTAAAACCTAGTAATATTTCAATTCTTTGAAAGTTGGTCATTATACAGCTAAAGTGGCATCACTTATGTATAAGAGAAACTGTCACCTGCTTAAGATATCCAAGAACAATGCTCTGGGTGCATGGAGAAGGCTCCAGAGTCAAATTCCTGGTTCAGTGTTTTTTTGCAACCCGAGAAGTCTCTCTCTGGAGAATTGCCATCTATCTGATCACAGCAGACTTCCTTACCTACCATTTATTTATTTATATTTCAAATTTGCCACCACCCATCTCATTGCAGAGCGACACCACGCTCCAAATGCACTAACCAACTATGAAAATTCCTCTACACTGGCTCAAAATTCACAGAGATACCATTTTACAAGAGGAAAGTAAAACAAAGGATTTTTTCCAGAAAAATGGTGGATTTACTGAAGCAGGGGATATGATCAAACATTTAAATGCACTGAATCTGGGGGGCAATGCTTTTATTATCAGGACTCAAAAGCAGGGCATTATACTTAACGTAATAATTCCCATCCCTATCCCATGCAGTCCTATATAAAACTTTAAAGAATGTTTAAAATCCAGCTTTTTAAAATTAGCTTGTTTTTTTTTTACAACAGAAGAAAAGAGGGAGGAAAAAAATGGATCTGAACATTTTATATCCAGCAGCCTACAAAGGATGCCAGTTATTGGAGAAAAGCTTCTGAGAATGGAAAATCACAGCTGGCCTTCACAGTGGCTGGGAAGATGAAAGAGGCAGAACCACAGGAGTCTTTCCAAAAGCTGCCCCCATCCCACATTAAGAATAAAAGCATATTGGGAGGAGTGGAACATTAGGGGTGTGCTGCCTGAGTGAAAAGAAATATGCCATTACGTGCAAATCTGCCTGCTGGGAAAGACTCAGGCAGGTTCAACTATTTGAAAATATTCAACTATTTGTGGCTGTCTAAACCCTCCCCCAATGCCATTTAACAGTGTGAAAGGGTGGGAATCTATAACCCTTGGGCATACAGCAAAGGGATACATTCCCCATTTCTAGATTTTGACACTGCGCAGGCATAGATCAACAACGCAAGAACTACAAACCAACGAAGAACTTACATAAATGAAGCTTACCAAAGCAGGATCATACCCCACTGAGATCCTGCTTAACTTTCAACCCCCTACAAAGATCCCAGGGGCCTGCTACCAGCTAAGACTGTCTGGGCACAGTATTATGCTACATGAACATATTTTTGTTGTGCCTTCAAGTCAGTGTTGACTCCGACTGTCTGGACAAGTCTCTGCAGTTTTCTCCACAAGATTTTGGAAGTGGTTTGCCATTGCCTCTTCCTAGGACTGAGAGTGAGTGACTGGCCCAAGGTCACCCAACTGGTTTTGTGGCTAAGGCAGGACTAGAACTCACGGTCCCCCGGTTTCTAGCCTAGTGCCTTAACCGCTACACCAAAGTGGCTCTCTCATATGAACACAGCCAACTGTATTTTGTTATCTTGGATTTAGGGTTCAGCCCTGGGTGTAACCTAGACACTGACTATGGCACAGGAAGACACTACCTCAGTTTTCTACCTGAAAGCTATAAAGCAAACTATACTATCTTCAATGCTGACACCAACTAGACTATTTGGACTACAGTGTCCATAGTCCTTAACCACTTGCCATGCCAACTGGACTGATGGGAGTTGCAGCTGAAAGCATCCAGACTGTGGTAGGCTTCTTAAGAGAGAAATTAATGGGGGTGGGGAAAGAGAGGCTTTTGCACAAGCCACTCTCTGAAAAAAGCTTTATTTTATTTATCATTCTTTTAAGCCAACCAAAGACAAAAGTTGCCTGGGGATGGATTACAGAGTTAAAACAAAATTCCTGAAAACACTTAAAAGCAAGATCACATAGAGAGCAAGGCATGGTAAAATAAAATAAAAACACAGCACAAGGGGAAAAAAATTAAAAAGAAATCCCTCTATCATAGACCAATCTCTCTAACTTTCCTTGAGTTATAACATTTGCATTATAACTTGGGGAATCACTGACCACGAGAGAATTACATGCTGCCCTCTCGTGGCTTGCTGTTAATTACAGCAGAATTGGTCCAAAGTGCTTCAGATTTCTTAAAACTGAGGACCCACATGGAAGGTTTAGGTCAAATTCTGATCCAGCCCTGCCCTGCAGCCAGTTGCTCTGTCAGGTGGAGCACTGCAGGGTGGGGTGCGGCACTGCTGGACATTTTCAGGGGGCCAAAACTATAGCAGAAAGCTAATGCCTCCAAGCCTCTTTCAGCCTTTGTGGCTCATTCACCTGTCTCTCTGAGTGACTGATGAGGAACAGCAACCTCCAACTCTCTACGTGCTTTTTCTTGGAAGGCAGCATTAATAAGACCCAGAAGGAGTGGCAAGAGAAGGAATAGCAGGAATGGAGGAACCCAGAGTCAGATCTCCTTGGGTTCATGATGCACATAAAAACCAGGCGGAGCTTCAATCACACTGTTGCAGTTGCCATCTTGACTTTTTTGACCAGACTGTGCAGATACCACCATCAAGATCTGGTCCCTGCCATTCCAAAATACAGAATAACAGATTTAAGTTATAGGACAGCTAATTCTTGCTGAATGTTAGGAAAACCTAATGGTAAGGACAGTTTGACAGTGGAACCAGTTGCTCAGAGAAGTTGGGGCCTTCCCTTCATTGGACGTTTTCAAGAAGAGACTGAAAAGCATGTTTAATTTGGAATCTTCCAGTGAGCTGGGGGTTGGACTCGTAGCCTGAATTTCTGTAATGATGATTATACAATGCTGAATGAGTACTGAGGTTAAGAGAAAGGCTCTAAATCATAGGGCATTTGGCTCAAATGTTGCTTCTGCCATAACTCACAGGACAGCCTTGGTCAAGCTTTGCTGTCCCAACATTTTCTTCCACTTACTGCATTTGAGGACTAACACAGCCTATTTTATAAAGCTAATGCAGAGATTCTGGCGGGATAGTTTCAAAGCCCTTGCCGTATAACTGTTTGGACTGAGTTCTGGGAATCTAAGAGTTTTTTAAGGAAAAAAAAACGAGAAAGATATTACATTATATCCAGAAATAGACATACAGGTTATCAAGGTTGAGAAAAGAATAACAGGTTTTCCAACATGTTTGGGATCATTTTTTTAGGTGGGGGGAGGGTTGTTAGCAGTAGTGAGGAAGGCTTTGGGGTGGGGAGGACAAGGGGGGGTGCACCATGAAGGGGCCCCATTGCGCGTCCTGTTCTTGGTGGCTTCGCAGGGAGGGTCCGGGGAACACCTGGGCCAGATGTGCTACCCCTTGATGGAGGAGGCCACGTCCTCCTTCAGAGCCTTCCACTCCCTGGGACTTCTGGACAGCACTGATGCCCAGTTTTGCTGTGAAACTTGCAGCGTGCCCTTTTGCTGTGCCTCCCAGGAGAGGGGCTTAGACCCAACTCAGTACCCTGGTCTCCAACAGGGGGTGGTAGTCAGCAGTGAGCCGTGGCCCGAGACAACCAGCCAGCTCCCAAATCAAAGAGGAGATGATGGCAGGTTGAACATCCCTTGTTTTTTATTGGAATCATTATTGCTACTATCGTTCTTTGGGGAAGAGGATAACAGGTTTAGACGGTTTTAATCAAATGCAATATGTTAGTTGGGCTTGTTTTGGAAACCTGCCTCACTGCATATATTTAAGGCAGTTGGATATAGCCCTCCAGATGGTACTGGACTGCAAATCCCATCATTCCTTACCACCAGCCATGTACTCTTAGATTAATGGGAGTCCTACTGCCAGAAGAAGAAGCCTTTGTGAAGTTACACATTCCTCAGCCCTTTTCTTACATTTCTGTGCCTGGTCACTTGAAAATATTCTTAGCTATCATAGAAAATTAAATGTTCAACCATTCACAGAAGCCTACAGCTCCAAAACTAATCTATAGGCCTGAGTGAAAACCTGCAAGGCTAAAAATCCAATGACCAGTGTAGGCAGTCAAAATGTTTTCATCATTAAAAAGATCACCTAACTGGGCTTTAAAAAAGAGTTCTAAATTAGCATCCCAGGTAGATGTTCTGTCTTCTCCAGCTATTCTGACCAGATTATTTTTCCCAACAGCAGCATGTCCACTTTCTTCCCTCAGCATTTTGTCTCCACCTGGTGTCCTTTCCCTCGGGATACTGCTTCCTCAGATTCTCCTCTGTCCTTACATCCACCATTATTACAATCTCCTCCTACCAATCTCTGCCTTTCTAAACCCTATCACAGTACTTCAGCAATGGGTGTAAGTAGCTCAGCAATTCACAGGTTCAGCAGTCCATCTGCGCTTTAATCTATTTGTGGGTTGTTTCATTGGCTGAAATCATTCGTTTTCTTTTAAAAGGAACATGTCCCTTTGTTCCTTCTTTAAAAAGAGATTTCTACCTGCAGCCTGGATGATGGGCAAAATAAAAGAAGAAAGCAAGTTTGCTTTCTGCTCACTCATAAGAAATAGTTGCTTTGGCAAGAAGATAATGTTGCTGAGAAGTCATCAATATTCATGCAAGGAAGCCTGAACGGAGGTAACTTGGAGAGATGCCTTCTGAAAGCCAGAGGGATGTATGATTTTCTAGAAGTGGGGGGTGGTGGTGGTCAGGGAGAGAACCAGCAAAACCAGACTTCTTCAGTGCTACCATCTCAGGAGAGCCACAAGGCAATCAATAAGAACTGTTTGTCCTGCAGCTCATTGTCTAGAGAATTTTCTGGCACTTTACCAACACTTACATCACTATTGAGAAGGTTTGGGCTACAGAGCTGGTATTCTGGTCAGCTTGATCTGCTCCAGAACTAGAAGAAAAAGGAAGCAAGAACCTCAAATTCAACCACAAGCAACCCATAACTCAAAAGGTTGCACGCTGCTCCAGCACCCTTTGGCTGCAAATGGGTGCTATAAGCCTTGTGGAGACTGAAGACACATTACACTGCCAAATCCCCCCAACCCGCCAGCAAAAATTCCTTTGTGGAAGTTTCAAGATCAAAATAGATGTCTTAAGTCTCTGCGAGGTCTAAGGCATCAATTTTTAAACCTCTCAAAATGGAAAAAATGGAAAGCTTTTAACTCCTCCTACGCAACCCCATGCAAAACACCGAGAAAGCGCTGCCCCAGAGTAAAAGAGGGTGCCAATTCACCCTCAAGCTCCACAGTCACCTCTCTTTTCCATTACCTCTTCTTCCATAAATCTTTTGAGCCCTGAATTCCACTTTTTGCTACTCCCAAACCACTTCTGACTGCAATTACCAAAAATCCTGGAAACCAGAAACATGTGAAATTGTGCAAACCCTTAAGTACGCATAACCTTTAAAAAAAATCCTAAACTTCCTAGATCCAGGAAAAAAAGAACATCCTGGCTCTACCCACATATAGCATGATTTCCACCATCATCTCCCTGATGACTGCAGCCCTTGCCCTTGCCCAGCACAAATACTGCCTGCAGCCCAGTCACAAAAGTTTCTGGCCAGAGCTTGTGATCTTGGACACACATAAATAAAGTACCTTAACATCTCAAAGTGTCTGAAATATGAAGGTGGGGCAGACAAAATGTCTACTCAGAGAGCAGCAGATGCCACAAGGCCAACGTGGGCCAGAATAATCGAATTTAATAAAACAAGAACAGAAACATTTCTCAGGAAGCTGAATTTTTGTTTGGTGTCACATTCCATGTTTTTCAGAGAAAAAAATCAACTCGTAGCTCACATATATAACCCATTTTTTCAAAGTTTCTTGTCCAAGATGAAATAAAAGCTTCTCTTAAATGAATCCTTAATCAGCATCCTTCAGTTCTAATAAATTGATCACTGCAGGGAGGCTCACCTGTGCCATAAACACATTTAGCCTGAATGCCATTTTCCAAACTGGGAGGCCAACAAGGCATGGGCAAGTACCAAATGAAGGTAAACAGCAAAATGCACACAATTTCCATTTGGGGTAAGGAAGAGATTAAAACTGTTTGCTCAGATTGGAAGGTACCAAGCTATACATGCCCTTCACAGGTCAACAACCCAATATTCTTTTTTCAAAAAGTGGGAAAAGCTACAGCTAATCTAGGGTCTATCTGCAAAGCATGGGATCTACCACCAAGCTACAGTTTTTCCCATAACCAAGCAGTATCACCTGTTGTAAGTTTGAAAGGTGGGCAACTTCAGTGGGATTAATACTTTACCATGGGATTGGAGTCTGCAATGAGATCACGCAGCGAATCCAGAAAGCCCTGATCCTCCACCATTTGGGCGTTGATGTCATGTAGTTTGGCCACACAGACAGCAGCGGTCTTGCGCACATACGGGTCTTCATCCTTCAGACACTTCCGGAGAGGTTCGCACAGGTATTCAGTGATCTTGTCCACCCGGATACATCCCATAGTGCGCACCGCCAGAGCACGGATGAGAGGGTTGGGATCCTCACAGTCCTGGGATGAGGAAATTAATAAACAGTGCTATATACATGGGTTCTGTGCAACAAGCATTAGAAATTTTATCCAGAACAGGGCTGTTTTTATTCCGGGTCAAAGCACCTCTGGAACACGACAAACCATGTTGTGGAGAATTTATTTAGATAATTGTAGATCTCTCTTAGAACAGGTGGATTGTCATGGCCCTAAGGAAGAATGTAACAAAGATCTTTGGAACATTTTGCACATAGCTAGTTAATAGCAGCAGCTCCCAAAAAGCACTTGTCCTACCTGCCACAAGAGGACTAAAGAATTTTGCCTATTTAAGGTGTTAATGAGTTCCTACTACCCAACTTACTGTGATTCTGGGGTGAATCAGGGAGAGAAGCACAGTGCTCTTGATGAGACAGGAGCAAGGACTGAATTAGATATATTAATCAGAAATGCACACAGCCATTAAACAGAATCATTACATTTTATTACATTTTTAATTCTTCATTTTTTTTCTAACTCCTGAAAAAAATGATAACGGATTTCCAATCCAAAGAGAATCCCTTTTGCCCAAAGGGTTTCTTTCCACTTATGTCTGACAGCAAAGAAAGGAGTCTCTCAATGTCACTTCTGCTGTCAAGTAAAATTACATCAGCAGCTGAGAAATCAATGATTGGACAATTAACTACACTGGGCTCGTTCAGTATTTGAGAGAAAAGAAGCTGAGAAAGTCAACTAGGGCAGAGCAGCACAATTGCAAGATTGCAGCCTGGAAGCTTGTGGAAAAAAAAGAGAAGGAAAGATAAGAGCCTATCCAAGTAAAAATGTAGAGTTAGTATGTTGTGCAACCCCCCCTCCCCCATCAAATGGTATACTTAAAAATGAGCTTAGAGCAGTGTTTCTCAACCTTGACAACTTTAAGATGTATGGACTTCAACTCCCAGAATT